ATTATTAGTATTATATTATGTATTGCCATCCAATGCTTAAATTGTTTTCCCATTTTTTATTTAGAATGCAAGTATAAAGCAATAGAAACATTTTTTCTACAAATAATCTTACAGACTGTACGTTTCTATGAAACTAAAAATATAAAGGGACACAAGTATATTCATCCAAAAACAAAATGTGGGATACATTTTTCATGATTGTTAACCAAATACATTAATTTTTAACTAAATAGAACTTATAATGTTATCACAGTGACATTTTAGTTGTAGATATGATTAACAAAATAAAATATATTTTATTGATAAAAATAAAGTTGTTTATATTATTAACCTGTGTTCAATGTTGAAATGATTATATTATTTATTTAATATTTTATATGGACATTTAGAAAGCATTAAATTAGTTTTAAACATGCAATAAACACTATAAATTATTGTCTAATGTAAGTCACATTCATATTTAATTTATTAAATACACTCCAACAATTGTATCATTAAATTTTTGATATTAGCTGGTAGAATACTATAAAACTATAAGAGTAATATTTTGGTGAATTTAGTTATTCCAAACTAAAAATATATTACACTATTTATAGTTTGTATAGTGTACAATGTACATAGTATGCATTATGCCCAAAATATTGATTCTAAGAGCCAAATTCGAGGTAATTATTCYTATTATACTAACATTTTAATATATTAAATTGACAATTTTATACTACCGATACTGACTCGGGTTATTAAGACAAACTAAAAAAATGAAGTTCARTAATACTGGATTAATTTAAATCTCTTATTTACATTGTTRATGTATATGGAATAAATTATTAATTTTAACAGAACTCTACCAAAATATATTTGTTCATTACATATATTATGCAGAAATATTTAGCTATCAGTCTCAAACCCACACTTTATGAAGTTAATGTTTAAAAAAAATATTATATGGTTACAAATTAATAATAATTTGCCATAATAGAGAATGTGACTAGCATGTTTTATTTTAATTAAATATATATATGAAGTACTTAATTAGAAATATTATATGATTADTAAATAATATCTAAATTWTTACATTGTTTTAACATGAACATTGAATACTTAATTCATAATTTACTATTAACCATAAGTCCATGAATTATAATAATAGAATAATCAATAATCACAAACCAATTGTAGATAAGATAAAATTTAAATTATATCTTACATTATTGTGAATCATGAAACAGGATATAATAATTTAGGTTAGTTTGATCAAAAATATAATTTTGTTTATTATGTTTTTTTTTTTTTTTTAAGGTAATAACAAAGCTCAATTTATGTATTATTATTATTTCGGACAATAAAATAATGTTTGTTAAAATCTCATTAAATTCATAATAGATACTTACGCGTTAGTACAAAATTATATATATATATAAAGTAATGTTTTAAAGTTAAAATAATTTAGTGTTAGAAATCAGAATCAGAATCATCAAGAGCAGCTCTTCTTCGATCAAACTGAAAAATAAAAAATTTAAAGCAAATAAATAAACATTATTACATTGAGTTTTATATATTTTATAGTCACTAGTCAGAATAGTTATGGGTCAAAATATAGTTTACCTTGACAGTAGTTTTGCGTTCTTGTGACTGCATTTGACTGTTCACTTGTTCTAACAAACCAATAAGTTCATCTTCTCCTAATTTATTAACAATCTGTCCAGACTGTGCCATTCTAAGTAACATATTTTCTACCATGCGTCCTTTTTCTGGTTTACCAATCATCAAAGTGTTCACTGTATTAWCAAACCCAATATTAATGTCTATATTTTGTTTTATTTTGAATACTAAAATCTTACGTCTTGCTCGAGCAGCTTGGTTTAATACTTGGGTAAGTATTGAGTGTTTCATGTCTTCAACCGCCTGACGCTGCTGTTCCGCTTGTTTTTGCTTCTCAGGATTGTCGGCTTGCGACTAACCAAAAGTAAACATTTCRTCGGTGTTAGTGTACAATAATGATGAGAAAAAATATAATACGATTATACAATATAGCTCCAGTGTTTCACTTACTCCACCAAGTTCCGACTGCATCTGGGCCATTCTCTTTGAGCGCAGGCTCTCCAGTTCGGAATCATCCATCTTGACTGTCGAGGGTCTGGGTGACAGATGAACGTCCAACAGCAGCAAACACGTTCGATTGAACACCTATAAGTAGTAGGTTTCAAATTTTACCTTTTCGTGTTTAGTCGATTTGACCGGAAATACAGAAATTTATCTGATTTGTGAGTAAGCATTTGCACGTTAGTTGTGCTAGGTGAAATCTTAAACGCAACGAAAATTGTACGTATGTACTATAAATGGATACTCGGTACAGTCATAGAAGAGATGTGGAAAATTGTAACAGGTCGAATTTCGAGGTTTGAAAGACGTCGGAATTAAATGTAAACACGAGGAAAGATAACGGATATCGTGCCAAAGGTACAGAGTTGCCAATCTTATAAGAAAAAGAAAACTCGATCGCCCTGTTGGGTTTCATAATTCAATATTTTTTCTTTTTGTATTATGAATTAACTTTTGAGTTTTTTCTTTTTAATTTTTCTTTTTGTAGTATAAGTTAACACCATAATATGATGGTTCTGTGTTCTAATGTAAGTATTTCATGGCGTTAGCCATTAGGAGTATTAGGACAGGTATTTATTTATTCTATTTTATTTTTAGATACCTTTCTGGATAATATTGTATACTTGTAAGCAATTAACTAAAGTAACACAATGTTGTCAGTTACAGATGTGAACTAAGATATAAAACTTAGTCCATGATTAAAACCACATACTTCACAAATACCTATAATATAATAAACTTTTATTTGTGATTACAATTTATTACAGTATATTGGCCCAGGTAGGTAGGTACTAGGTATATGCACAAATTAGAGTACAAACAGCGGTACGAACAAGCAGAAGTTACACATTATTGTGTATTTTTGTCATAGGTGGAAATTGGGGGTGGGTGTTAGGGATAGCTTAGCACCCCAAAACTATTGAACGTTTTTCAAAACCCCCATTTCGTATTTTGTAAAAATTCATTCAAATTTCCATCTATGTCTTATGATTTGTATAATGTATATATTAGAAAAATTCGTTCATTTTACATTTAAATTCCCGAGAAAATAATTAAAATTGCTTGAAGTTGAATAGCTCTCATTCCTATTTGGGTTTTGGACAACACTATTGTAGATAGAATAATATCAATGTATAATTATGGTGATCGATTATCTAGGTATATAATCATAATTATATAACATAATATTACGTACCTATACGATTTTTGGAATTAATTGTAATGACTAATGAGCTAGTGTCATTTAAATGAATATGTATTGTTTGATCATTAGCATATAAGCTTTAAATGCTGAATGCTAATAATAATATTTTTGTTAGCCTATATGTAAATGCTGTCTGTCGGTATCCCACCTGCCCAGTCCGGCCCTGTGGTACATAAATAATAAATGTATAAAGTGTCTTTCGTATATCTATGATGGATTCACTGTGGTCTGCGACTGTTGTTGCGGTCGTTCGCTAAAAATTGTTGGTCGTGTCCTGTTGAAGCATAGAACAAATTAAAGTTGTAGTATTCTGAATCTGAACGACAAACGATAAACTTACCTACTGTTAAAATGAAAAACATCCGGAATAAATTTAAAGGTAAAAATTATGAAAGTTATAATAATAATTAATAACAATAAATAAAATAATATATACAAATACCAGGTAAATTATAGATATAATACGTGTATGAKATTTTTGTATAGACTTTTTTCAGTTTACCTTTGTAACAATTATCCAACAATTTTTTTTATAGAAATCATTGTCGCGAGCAAATAAAATTATTATAACGATTTTTATATAATATATACTATATTATATACTCGTATAGTCGAGTCGTATATTATTATTATTTATATACTTATTGAAAGTACCAAATTTTTTTTTAAGATTCGGTGGATTTTAATAAAACATGTGACCAATTTCTTATAAATATTAAATATTTAATAAACTGAAGTATTTTCTACAAAACGTTTATATGCTTATGACATAAAGGAATTAACTTAAAATAAGAGTGGAAATAATATTTTGAAAATTGCAATGRAATGTTGTGTATATAGTAAATGATAATCATATAACTTATAAGTTGTAAGTAACAGTCAACTGAGGACTTAAAGTGTATTTCAAGATTCTACGATTCATTGTTTTTAAATTATATATAATACCAAATAACTAAAATAATTTAAGTAAAGTCGTTAATTTGCGTTTAAATATACAATTCTGTTAAAATTTAAATTTTAAGCGATTATTTATTAATTTATATTTAAAAGATAATATAACAATCTAATTGTACTGTTGTGTRCATTTTCATGTTTTCCCGAAGCCCATTAGTTTTTTCCATTTGAGAATTGAGTTTTTAAAATATAGTTTAGGTGGGAAACTACTACAGTTTTAATACAAGGACCAATAGTGCCTCTCTAAGATTTTTGTGATTTTTAAGTTATTTAATTTTTTTACTCATTTTTATTTTAAATTTACCTACATATTATATATTTTTGGTTCACGTTTTTCCTAAAAAGCTCTTGTAGTTTTACTAAAAGGTACATTTCTAAACGACTCTCGCCGTCTCGGTTTTTAACAACACAAATTCTTTCCAACTTCATATACCTAAGGCTGTCTCAAAAGGTTTGGATGGCAACAGGGATAATATAATGATTTAAAAGCCCACAGCAAATGTTATATTTATTGTGTATTATTTACTGAAGTTTATATACAAACACATACACATTACTTTTTAATTCGAAAAAAAAAGTTTTGATTCCCATGATTTGTGAACACTGGTCAAATATGCCCTCGCTACCTATGTATACATATATGTATCTACCTAGATTTAGTAGGTACCATGTAAAACAGTGCCATTTATTTGTAGCGACTAACGAGTAACGACTAACAAACAACACTATAAATTTAATTTAATTTAAAACAAAAATGTAAAATTATTCAAACACCACTGTAACAATAATAATTTTAAATTATCATACGTACATTATACATAMATACATTAATACGTTTATAGCCCTATCCTACATCTCAAATTATCGATATTATACTATAATTTATAATATTAAACTAACTTTTACTTATTAATGTTGATGTTATATTTTATTTTATTATTATAATTTACTCATATACTCGGTATACCCATAAACCGTTATAAGTTATAACTATAACTTATAAGGGGATATTGATGTATATTTTGTGAATTATAATGTTTATAAAATATTTAGTAGGTAAATAAACATTATAAGGACGTCGTACTAGCTTATTAATATTATCTATATTTTCTCGTTGATTTTTTACGAAATTTTAATTTTTTGATTGTGATAATAGGCCAATTCATTCTAATGTTTTATCTTACTACACAAAATTGAAACTTCTAAAATCAAATTTGCTCTATTGTCCGTTAGTGATACGTAGACTCTACACTCGTGTATGTCTTCCTCAGAAATAGTTTCTATTTTTGTAAACAGAAATATAGTTAACGCATATTAAAATAATTATAATATCCAAAATAAAATTGAATACCCAGTAATTTAATTTGTTTTTTTTTTTTTGTAGGCATTAGTAAACATTACACAACTTCAAGACTATCTCCCAAATTACCTCCGACTGACTTCATACCATTACCGTACAAAGTAAAGTATTGTCTTTATTTTCAAAAGTATATAAGTACACGGAGAAGATCATATAAAATGCATTATGCATGTACTTAAATTGGATTAATAATATTTTCTCAATTAATCATTTAAACATATTTATTAATCATATTTTTCGTAATAAACTAWTGTCTTTTATCCGGATAGGGTGAATAACTTTTAATTAATTCAAATTTAATTACAAATAAACATTTTTGAGATACCTAATTATTTTAAAAAAGTGTTGAAACACCACGAATTCATGAATTCATCATTAGGTTTTAGCTTGTAGTTAACTTTATTGCTGAATCCATATAATATGTTTTTTTTTTCATTTCTGGGTATCGTAACAATTAAATAAAACAACCAATGAAAACGGTTAAAAGGCTTCTCAGTAAAAACCAAGATTTAGAAAGGTTAAAATATAAATACATTGATAAAATAACGCATTTTGAGTAAAACATGCAAAGTTTAAGCTTTAAAGATGAATTTTTTTTTTCTTAAAAAAATGTTTATTAGTTGAAAGTTATTAACTTTTAACCTACTTACTAGTGTAGGTATAATATATAAGTATATACCAACTAGGTATCAAAMATATTTATCATAAAACATATTTAAGCCATACATATATATGTTTTAAATAGGTGAAGTTTCTTCTTCTAAATTATTCAAGGATATTTTTGGTTTAAGTACAGTAACGACAAGAGTTAAAATTGATATTTCGAACAATAAATGTATTAAATATAAACTTKAAAACGATACATTTTTATTTCCAGGGGGTTTCTTACGAAAAAGCACAGTCCATGCAATTGGAAAATGTGTTTCCTCAAGTACAGATGTACGAAGAACCTTTACTTTTACATGAAGGTAAAATGCAATGGCTGTTCGATCACAAGGGCAAGCGGTACTTAGACATGTTTGGAGGGATAGCTACCGTTAGCGTAGGCCACTGTCATCCGTCAGTATACCATATTTATATATAGCCAATATAGCTGTTCAAACAATAAGCATTAAACATCAAACATTAAAAAGATTTATAAAATATAATTTCAGACGAATTACTGAAGCAATCGCTGAGCAGTCGGGTATATTAGGCCACGTGTCCGGAGCGTATGAGCATCCAAAAATGTATGAGTATGTGGAAGCGCTTGTATCAAAAATGCCGGGAGACTTAAAGGTAGGTTAGGTATAGGGTAAATTTATAATATATAACTCMTGTTCAAYGATAATTTTTAAAATGTTTAACCACCCATGCAATGTYCATCACAAGTTCACACCTTAAGGTATACTTTTACTCGATATATTTTTTGACCAATTATACTATTATAGGTCATCAGCGATTCTCGCACGAGCTTAAAATTGAATTGTATGGAACCAACGAGTATATACTGAAATGCTAAATATTATTGTTGACTTAATTTTTTTTTTTTTATGTGGAGTTCTACCCGCTTTGGATTGGTATAATAAGTAAATGGTAATTGATGAGAAATAAATATTTTGGGAATATATTATTCTAATTACCTGCAGCGCAGGCCATGTTTATATAATATTATTCATTTAATATATTATGTAAATGTACATTTTATATWATAATAATAATAGTCTTTATTACGGACATGCTATACTTACAAATAAAAACTTTTGGGTATATAATATATAGATACAATAATATAATAATAGTTGAATTTCGAATTAATCAATATTATAATTACTG